AGTCATTGCTGTGGATCTGGGGTGCCTGCTGGGGACGGTGTTTGGAGGGTTTGGCGGGTTTTGGAGGGTTTGGAGCGTTTGGAGCGTTTGGAGAGTTTTGGAGGGCTTGCGGGCTGGCAAACGGCAGCTTTGAAAGCCCATAGAAAGCCATTGCTGTGGCCTGGCCCTGGGGTGCCTGTTGGGGAAGTGGCCTTGGCCCTGGCCCTGGGGTGCCTGTTGGGGAAGTGGCCTTGCCCTGTTTTAAGGAAGGTGTTTGGAATTTTGGGGGGGTTGCAGCCTTTGCGGGCTGGCAAACGGCAGCTTTGAAAGTCTCAAGAAAGTCATTGCTGTGGATCTGAGGTGCCTGCTGGGGACGGTGTTTGGAGGGTTTGGCGGGTTTTGGAGGGTTTGGAGCGTTTGGAGAGTTTTGGAGGGTTTGCGGGCTGGCAAACGGCAGCTTTGAAAGCCCATAAAAAGTCTCATTGCTGTGGCCCTGGCCCTGGGGGTTTGGAATTTTGTTTTGGAAAGTTTGGAGCCTTTGCGGGCTGGCAAACGGCAGCTTTGAAAGCCCATAAAAAGTCTCATTGCTGTGGCCCTGGGTGTGGGGGTTTGGAATTTTGGAGAGTTTTGGAGGGTTTGCGGGCTGGCAAACGGCAGCTTTGAAAGCCCATAGAAAGCCATTGCTGTGGCCTGGCCCTGGGGTGCCTGTTGGGTGAAAGTTGTTTTTTAAGGGTAAAGGTTTTAGAGGGTTGTTTTGGAAGAGAACAAGGTCCAACCGGCGGTGGTCCTGGGGACGGTGTTTGGAGGGTTTTTGGCGGGTTTCGGAGGGTTTTTGGAAGCGTTTGGAGAGTTTTGGAGGGTTTGCGGGCTGGCAAACGGCAAGACTTTGAAAGCCCATAAAAAGCCATGACTGTGGCTGGCCCTGGGGGGCCTGTTTTGGGAAGTGGCCTTGGCCCTGGCCCGGGCCCTGGGCCCTGGGGTGCCTGTTGGGGAAGTTGCCTTGGCCCTAGGGTGCATGTTGGGGAAGGTGTTTGGAATTTTGGAAGTTTGGATCCTTTGCAGGCTGGCAAACTGCAGCTTTGAGGCCCATAGAAAGTCATTGCTGTGGCCCTGGCCCCCTGTTAAGGAAGGTGTTTGGAATTTTAGAGGAGTTGCAGCCTTTGCGGGCTGGCAAACGGCAGCTTTGAAAGCATCAAGAAAGTCATTGCTGTGGTCTGAGGTGCCTGCTGGGGACGGTGTTTGGAGGGTTTGGTGGGTTTTGGAGGGTTTGGAGCGTTTTTTGGACAGGAGTTTTTGGAGTGTGAATTTTGCGGGTCTGGCAAACGGCAGCTTTTGAAAACGGCTTAAAAACCCATTGCTGTGGCCTGGCCTGGGGTCTCCTTGGTTGGGGATTTGGCCTTGGCCCTGGCCCTGGGGTGCCTGTTGGGGAAGTGGCCTTGGCCCTGGGGTGCCTGTTGGGGAAGGTGTTTGGAATTTTGTTTTGGAAACTTTGGAGCCTTTGCGGGCTAGCAAACGGCAGCTTTGAAATTCATAAAAAGTCTCATTGCTGTGGCCCTGGCCCTGGGGGTTTGGAATTTTGGAGGCGTTTGGAGCCTTTGCGGGCTGGCAAACGGCAGCTTTGAAAGCTAATAGAAAGTCATTGCTGTGGCCCTGGCCCTGGGGTGCCTGTTGGGGAAGCTGCTTAAGGGTAAAGGTTTGGAGGGTTTGGAAGAGGACAAGGTCCACACCTGCGGTGGTCCCAGGCGCCGCCCCGGCCTTGGCGAAGGCCGGGGTCGGCGGATTTAACATAGCTATTGAAAATGGCAATTTTTAATGGGAAAATCCACTATAAATGGCCATTTTCAATAGCTATGTTAAATTAACAGGGTAACCATGGTTAAGCTATGGCTAACCCCACGTCCAAGCCATGGGCCAAGAGTTTCCCAACGTTTCCCCATGGGATCCGTGTCACAAGGTAGCTATGGCCCCAGTGGACCTTGCAGAAGCCAAGCAAGAGCTCGGTTTTGGCCTCGCGATGGGATGAATTTGGATGAGTTTGGATGATGAGTTGGGGATGAGTTGGGGGTTGGGAATTGAAACCACACTAACCACCAACCATATGTATGTATATATATATATAATCTGATCATAATATATATATATATAATGAATCTTATTGTTCTCGACTCTGCTGGAAGCACGCCTTGCAAATCTGAGGGTTGAACTACAGAGAGACGCTCTATCCTCAGCAGTAGCGTCAAACAATGCTGCATCCAGTGGTCTATGTGGGCTGAGCAGGCTCAGGTCTGAGTCATGGAGGAATACCAATTGCTGGGAGTTTCATGGTGAATCTGAGTCTGAGTATGTTTCTGGTTTGGCTTGATTTTTGAAGAGATCTTGACAGGTCGCAAAGTCTTCAGTAGTAGTGCAAACCCTCACTTCTTGAAGAAGAAGACTATATGGTAGCATGGTTTCTAGTTCGTATCTCATTGTTAATTGTCGATGATCCCATTTTTCTCGGTCATTTTTTGTCATGCCCATAACCATTTGGTGATTTCACAAGTTGAACCCATAAGTCACTGCACAAGATCCACTGAGGTTGGACAGTTTTGCAGTGCATGGCCGATCTGATTCCGCAAAAATCTCAGTGTTGTCTATGGAAAGAGGGAACAGGCTTGCCGCATGGCAACCCTCCAGTATCATCAGTATCCCGAATTTTCAACTGTTCGACATCAGTCGGGGGGAATGAGCAAGACCAGTTCAGGCATAGCACCACGTGAGCAACTCTGAGAAGATTCCAAGACATGCCTTCTTTGTCTCTATTGTCCATGCATTCATTTGTTGGAATTCACGATGTCAAGGATCAGAAGGGCGAAGTAGCAGTCATGACCGATCTGGAGGCTGCAGTTTGCTGCATATCTCTGTTTGCATTCCTTCATGATCTTTATTAGCTCGTGCCAAGGGAACTCTCTTTGTCAGCTCCGAAGTTATTGGATCTGTATCCGCATAGATCAGGTCGTAGGGCATCAGCTCTAAATCCATGACGCTTGAGGTTGGTCCTGAAACCCTGCCGCCATCCAGACCACCACCGCCTGTGAGATTTGAAGATCAATGCTCCTTGGACTATCAGAACCAAAGATTTTTGCTCACAATATCAGATCATCGCCGAAGACTACTGAAGCCTATCAACTGACTGTTTTGAAGATGGTCTCGAAACATGGTTGCCAACAGACGCCCATTTGGCCAAAAAGAGGTGGTCAAATCAATCGCCCATTTCTTTCTGCAGGCGCAGAGATCATGGCATTCTTGGAAAGTGTCGATGCCGAGGCGGAAGTGCTGTTGGTTCGACTCCTGCAGTTGTTCAGTGCTTGTGATGTTGAGAAATTTATAGGAGGTCAATGGTTTCTTTTGTGGATTATATATATTGGATTGTGGATTATCATCCTATAACTATGGATTTGTCAGTGCTATTGATCATAATTATCAACTTCAAGTCTCCATGTTCAATCCCTGTAATTTGAAATCAAGTGATCACTTGATCTTTGGCAGAACATCGGTGGCAGATGACTCATTCGGCTGGCAAGGCTTTAAGTGCCTCAAGAAAGAAAGGCTGGCAAGAGTCAAAGACGGTCAAAGTATACAAAGAAAATCAAGAAAACACCTGTTGGCCAAGTTAGCAACAGCTGTGCTGTGATGCAGGCTGCTTGGACAATTTGCTGTCCGCAGCGGAGGCTGCCATGAACACAGACATGGACAAAGGCCGATGATTGGAACTTTGTGCTGGTGCATTTCTGGATTTCAGAGATCACAAATGATCACAGTTAGATGCAATTAGCATTCTCGATAGCAAAACTATGGAAAACTAAAAGGAACCAGTTTTTACTGGGTGGTATTTGGTCTGGAGCAATGCTTTCCCGGGCCCTGTTGGAAGGCTTGGATTTGGGTTTGGATCGGACATGGGAGGCAGGAATGTTGTCATGAGTGTGGCTACAGAATTGGTTGAGATTCCCTGAAGTCTTTCCAAAGCCTTCAAGCAAGGAGGTTCCAAAGCATTGTTTGATGGTTGACAGGCGCCCAAAGTTGAAGGCGAAGTTCCTGCTTCGAAGAAGACTCCGCGCAGGTGGAAAAGGAGCAATCCATCAACTTGATCAGGCGTTTTGTTCTTTGATCAGCATGGACTTGATGATATCTCTAACACTCTAAGTTACTAAGCCATGAATTTAGACATGAGCTTCATGTAACTAGGTTGTTGGAAGCTGGAGAAGAGAAACTTGGCAGATATGTATGCAAATATACTAACATACATCAATATGTATAACACATAGATAGATAGATAGATAGATAGATAGATAGATAGATAGATAGATGGATGGATAGATAGATAGATAGATGGATAGATAGATAGATAGACAGATGGATGGATGGATGGATGGATAGATAGATAGATAGATTACATTATATAGATTACATTATATAGATTACATTATATATATATATTACATTAGATTAGATTAGATTAGATAGATAGATAGATGTGTGTCGTTCTATATTGTTAATTATTCTATATAATTACTAGTGTTTATGTATAATATATAATTACATATTATAATACTGCAATGGATATTTAGATACATCCTATCATTCCACTTGGATCATATCAATTCATATTTGTGTTGATTCCAAGGTGTCCCAATCCTTAAACGAATGCGTCGTCGCCAAGTCGCTGCTCCATTGAAAGGAGATGCTTCAAGCCGACAGAGATCATGGAGGTCTACCTGGGTTATTTGGGATGATTACCACCCCATAATAGGGAGAACTAACCAACAAGGAAGTTTCTGGACACACCAAAATTCCCACCTTTGCTACTCAATTGTATCAAGCTCGCATTCGTTTGCATTAAAGTTCATGTCACACAAACGTCCATTTTGCTACAGGAGCATCCACGACCTTGGCTGTCAGTACCCTTTGTCATTGAAGCGTCGGAGCCTTAAACAGCTGCATCATGTGGGCATGGTCTTTGCGGAGAATCCTATGATCCCAAAATGTTGCGGCCTTGGTTCGCTTCAGGTGGCAATGCCACAGTGTTGATGGCAGAGCAGAAGGGCAAGATGCTGCAAGCACTCGAAGTTTGGTCCCCGATTTCAGCATTCATCAGAGATATCAGAGATTGAACGATGTTTGTTGATGTTTATAGTATATAGTCTTGTGATGTCTTGTGACAAACAACATAATATGTAATACAACATAATATATAATACAATATAATTATAGCATATTATAGCAATATCCTGCAATTTTATACCAACTATATATATATATACAAACATATAATATATATATAATATATATATAGCTCTACTAGTCCCATCTCCCACACTATGTCTTGATCTGGTGATGTCGCCGACGCCGCATCCCCAGGCGTCACCGCGACCTCCGCGGAACTGCCGAGAGCGGAGCCTCTGCTGGAACCGCCGCCAGCCACAGCACCGGTGAGGTCCCGACACCGTGGGATAAGTTGGTCATGATATATATAATGAATTATGATGATATATACAAGATATAATCATAAATAAACATATATATTATATATACACATATGTATGCGTGTGTGTCTAAGGAGAGAGAGAAAAAAAGGAAAATCTCATGAAATCGGTTCTTCCGCTCGCCAGGTCTGCTACCGAAAGCACTGGAGGCTCCGTCTCCAGGCACCGTGTGGCGCGCAAACCAGCAGTGCCTTTGGCACCGAGACGCCAGGCTCGAGAATGTGTCGAGACATGCCGAAATGAAGTGAAAACAGCAGGGTGAGCCTAGTCTTATATTATCTATTTGTATAATATATATAATTATATAATATATTATATTGGATATGTTTAGATGTTTTTTAGAATGATTAAGAATTGTTAAGAATTGCTAAGAATCCACTGAAGGATATTTCAAGGCCTTAGAGCATTTTAGAACTCACTTCGAACTGGGCACTGCGACGCAGGGCGCACGGTCGATGGAGTCCATGTCTTGCGATCGTCCTGCGAAGCCAAGGCCCCGGAATCATCAGTCCATTGGAGAATTAGGAAAAAAACATGGAAAAAAACATGGAAAAAAGGATTGCCAATATGGGATTCATGACCATATACCATGTTTTGGCCCATGTTTTGGCCATGTTGCACATATAACTGATATAAAATCATATCATTTGTGAGAAAGGTATCTCCCATTTCGAGACACACACCCCAGAGTTGGTTTCAAAGTGTGACCAAACCGATGGCTCCTTGGGCCCAGAGTTTTGACCCATGGCCAGAAATCGCAAAGTTTCCTGTAGATTGTCCCTTAAACTCAACCACAAAATCGAACAAAGAGTGGCCAAAAACTGATCCTTGCCTCAGGACTGGAAGTCTTTCCTTGCACGACGACTTGGAGTGTCCGCCTCCGCGGGAGAAGCGAGAGCGAAGACTGCGCCTTAGAATCCATCGTTGTCAAATGTTGGAACAAATGTTTGATCAAGAATTGTTGTCCCGTGATTCAAGAGGTTTTCCCCATAGTTCAAGAGTGTTTTCCCAAGAGTTCAAGAGTGTTTTCCCATAGATATTCCAAAATCATCAAACATCCAGAGGGTATTCCATTAAATATCCCATTATTTACCATTAGCAATTATCATCCATTGTTAGCCATCATTAACAATCAAACATCCATAATCCAGCGCGCATGTTGCAGGAAAGGCCCCGCTCCCAAAGTGGAGCCCCAGGCCGAGTTCGGCCGAAAGCTTAACTGAGCAACGCGAAACGAGTCACGAAATGTCCACGATGTCCAAAACTGGGGGAGTCCTAAACAGCCCCACAAGAAGATTTTCTGTACTAACATTGGGGTGTGTCTGAAAATTTTGGAGATAACTCCAGTGGTTTATCATGTACATGAATGTTCTCTGTTAAGATTGCCGTTTTTTTAGCGAAATCTCCCATTTTCAGACACATGGATTCACATGGATCATAATTAGGCGATGGTCTCCTCAGTTCTTAGATGGTTAATCCATGTTGATCCCATTTATATCTAGTTAGAATAATATTAGATTCGATAAGATACACCGATCATCATTTATCCCATCATGATCCAAAGATGGTCACTTTTTGCTGCCATCATTCTCGTGGCAGCTCAGGGCTACACACGCCCAGCTGTATCCCTGCGACCAGCAGTGCCTGGGTGCCGACCATTTGTTGCTTGGCATTTTTGGATGCTTGGTGATGTGTTTTAAACATGGATTCTTGATGTTCTATTTTGTTGTGAAGTTGTTGTTTCTGCAAAAAAACTGACCTTGAAGCAGTTCTGGAATATAAGCGGACTTAGAAGTGTGCTGAAAGCATGTGATCGACTCTCAGGTGTCTGGCCAGTCTGCTGAGCCAACGTCTCAGAAGTGGGATATCCGGATGGTATCGGATGGTTTGGGTTGCGGATGAACTCGGGCAAAAACAATTTGCAAACATTGTGTGTGTTGGGATAATACATGTCCAATCATGTCCATACTAAATGAAATGGATTGATATGGTGTGATTTGCAGCGAAGTATGGAAACTGAAGACTTGGAATTGTGGCGATTCAACATGATTCAACCAGGATCCACATGTGTTTTGTACGAAAGCTGCGAATCAACACATGACCTACGGAATCTACGCCCAAGCCCTTGGGACATCTTGGGACCAGCTTTCTGAATCTTTCTGAGGTGCAGCACCAATGCCTCATGCAGCAGTGGATCGACGGAGGTGCTGGAAGATTCCCGGATTGATATGATGGTTTATATGATGTTCCATACTTGCTGATACTGATATATATGTACTGATGCTCGTTGAAGTTACTGATGAAGCATTGTTCAGGTCGATTTGATAGAACTGATTGTGAAAGTGTTGATTCAATTCTCATCCAATACTTTCTGTGCGTTGAATGAAGAGGCTCTTCGTTGGTCTTTCTCTTTTAAAATTGCACAATGCACGTCATTTGGTGTTTGATGCATTTTGGCCATGTATGTTGAAAGAGTTGAGATGTCGCCATACAAGGAAAATGTGATCTTGACACTCACGTCTGAGTAAGATGTTCTGATTGTTCCTAAAGATACCCCAACAATACTCCATCCGTTCGCGCAGCAAAAATCAAAAAGTTCTGCCATTTATTTTCTGGGAAACCAATCTGATTGAGAAAAGAAATAAAGGTCAATATGATGGATACAATGGTGATAATAACCAGAACCAATAATTGTCAATATAAACCATTATAGAAGTGGTAGCATCGTTGCATTGCCTTCATCCATAGCAGAACGCAGAACGCATAGCAGTTGCAGCGTAACATGGCGGATCCAGCACCTGATGATGCCGCAGCACAAAACTTGGACAGTTGCCATCTCAGAACCACGGAAGGACTGAGGCAAAATCCAACGATGTTTCTGTTCTTGTCATCAATTGTATCGTTGTCATGTTTGAATATTGGAAGCCATAAAAAGAAATGGTGAAAAAAGATGTGCCGATGGTTTTTTCTCGAGGTTATATGCAGCAGCATCAAATTCAGCCCTTCGTTCAGGACGGAGTGAATGAGTTGAAGACTTGAAACGTTGAAACGTCACTTTCCCTGTCAGCCGGTAGCCCGTGGTAGCCCCAAATCGCAGGAAATGCTGACAGAACTCTTCGCTGCTTTGCCAGAAGATCCCTATGAGTACCTGTCACAAACCCAGTTGAAATTGGCCGAAGATGTGGAGATGTGACAGCTGGGAAACTCTTCATCGAAATTGATTGCAATTTTTCTTACAGGAAACTCACCCCGTTGGGTGGTTAAAAAAAAATCCTGGTGTCCAGCGGTTTTGGATGGTCAAAAAATGTCAAAAACCATGGGTTGTCTGGCCGAGGACCTATCACCTCGCTGCGAAGCGACCAGTGCGACCACCACAGGAGATCCCCAGTGGTCAGCGAATGGATTGATATAACCATTAGAACATTGGCTTTACTCATTATGGGTAACCATTAGATACAACCATCATGGGTGGTCTAACATCATGACAAAACCATCAATCATTATAATATTCGTAAAGCAATCATAAACAACCCATATGGATTGATGCTTTGTACCTCTATCCAGGATTATGGTGATTTCGGGGATGGACAATCAACAAAGATTAGGATGTTATGGTGGTTTTACCAACATGAATGGGAATTAATGAGAATTAACGGGATATACAACCAACTTGATATAATATGTGGGTGTGTGAGAAAATGGGAAAGACCTCCAATATTTTGTGAACATGAAGTGTTTTGACATGATTTGACCATGAAATTTGGTGGTACTCATGATTTTCAGACAGAGCCAATATGATATGATCCAGGTTGACTTTTCGTGAATGCAGAACGATGTCGTTTAACGAATTTCCAATGCTTGTGAATTCAATTGCCAACAGTGGGTGTGTGCGTGTGTGTGCCAAGTTCTGCCTGCAGGATCAAAACCTGATCCAGAGTGGCGTTCTGTGGGTGCTGCTACCAGGAAGCAATCCCATGTTGGTGGCTCAGTGTTCAGTGCATCTTTTTGAGAGATATTTGTGATAGTCCGGCAGAGGTTTTTTTGCCGATGAAAGCTGGCCAAAGATATGGCATGTGCTTTTCATCGCAAAACAGTGATTGGCTAGCAGTGCCATGCCAGAAGTCAGGGACTTGCGATGGTCAAGTCAGGTTTCTGGTCAAGTCTGCTGGAAATCTAACATTGAATACAGGTCATTGACCTTACAAGTTTCATCGTATCAATCATATCACAACCTATATATGGGGTCATTATCAAGATCATCAACATGTATCACAGGGTGCAATGTATATGGGAATATCATCCTGCAGTAAAACACTAATCATCATCAGTATCAATAAATAGTTGGTTGATGTGATTGCTCCATATCATCCCATAAAAGTATATAAAAGTCTAGAAGGGAAGATCCGCAGGAAACCGCCACATAGTCACTACATTTGATGCATAAACCCATGGTTCCTACTGTTTCCTGTAGATGTTCCAAGCAGTCCACATGGATGTGGCGCCCCTTGCGCGCAAGGTCCTTGGAACACTGGCGTTTGAGACGCTGCTGGCTAACAGACCAAGGCACTCACATGGAGTCACTGGGAGTTATAATGATTTACCATCTGGTTATTTAACATAGCCATGGAAAATCACCATTTTTAATAGGTAAACCATCATAAACCATCTATAAATGGGCCATTTTCCATGGCTATGTTAAATAACCAGAGGGTATATAATTGATTGGCTATTATTAGCTATCTATATAGCCATGAGGAACCAGGATTCGAGAAGCGGCATGACTGTTGAACATACCACAAAAAAATCCCATGGAACTTGGAACTTGACCATGGCACATGTGAAGTCACTTGTTTTTGTGGAAGATGTTCTGCAGTGTTTTTGTGGATGTTTTGCCATCTAAGCCTCTAAGCCGTGGTGCAGGTGTGATTTGCGTCAGTAACGAAGCTGCTGAAGTTGGTCATGATGACTCCGGCAGAAGCTTGACGGCAAAGGAAGTGCTCGAGCAGGGCTGCTCCAAGCAGGGTTGTTCCAAGCTAAACTCATTGCCTCAGGGTGCAAAGTTGGCGATTTTACCTCTAGATTTGGCCAATTTCCCCTGCAAAAATGTTTGGGGCGGCGAGGGAAAAGACTTGATCGACATGGCAGCTATCCCTTCGGTTGTTCGATGCCATGCGGTGGCATGCGTATGGATCAAAATTCAGTACCTAAGAAGGTTCCGCTCTAAAAATCACCTGATATTGCGAGGGTCTTATATAACCCATCTATCAATTATATAAACATAATTAAACATAGTTAAACTGATCGAAGGAAGTTTAGAAGTCAAACTTCCCACAATATGGACAGATGAATAGCAGAGGTGGGAAGAGTCAGAGAAGAGAAGAGAAGAAGAAAGAAGATCAGGGAAGAGAAAGAGTCAGAAGACAGAAGATGCAGGTGCGGGAAAAGGTAGCAAAGTCGCGAAACACTGTGTTTTTTCCAATGATGTGTGGCTCTGGAGGGTCGAAAAGTAGGCTCGCTAAAGCGGTGGGTGCGGAGCCATCTGGCCAGATGAGAGATGAAAAGTTGCACGCGGTTGTGGTGCGAACGAAGCACATTTCCAAGTCAAAATGTACAAAGCACACCATGTTTGGACCACTTTTGGAAGTTGAGATGTCGAAAAATTGCACGCTGTTGTGGCGCGAAGCACACTTCGAAGTCAACATGTACAAAGCACACCATGTTCGGACCACTTTTGGAAGTTGGGATGTCGAAAACGTGTCCGCCGTTGTGGCGCGAAGCACATTTCGAAGTCAAAATGTGCAAAACATACCATTCTCGGACCACTTTTGGAAGTTGAGATGTCGAAAAAGTGCACGCTGCTGTGGCGCGAAACACATTTCCAAGTCAAAAGCGGAAAAAAAACTCGGGTACGGAGCACTTTTGGACGTTCAGATGTCGCTTTTTCGTGGCAGGCGCAGGGGATTGCGCACCTTGTCAAAAGTGAGCAAAACGTGAGGATTTTGTAGCAGCTTCAACTACAACCACCACTACACTACACTCCACTCCACTACAACTACAACTACATTTACAGCTAAAACTACACTACACTAATTACATTACACTACACTCCATTACATTACATTACAGTACACTACATTAACTACAACTACAACTACAACTACATAACACTACACTCCACTTCATTTCACTACACTACGCGCAATTTCACTACAGTACACCACAA